TTTATAGGAAAGTCACAAAAAAAGACAGTTCTAGGGAACCAGTAGGTGGCGTGGTGGTTAAGGCACTGGATACTTCCACGTGGCTGATCTCAGTTTGAGTCTCGGACCTGGCGGCTTGTTTTCTCACTTTCCCTCTCTCTCTGTCTGTGTGTGTGTGTGTCTCTCTCTGGTCAAATCAAAATAAATGAATGAATAAATAAAATAAAATAAAAAATAATTCTTAAAAAAAGGAGACAGTTCTAGGTGAGCTCCTGCCCCTTCTTCTTGGATAGGACCCATGGTAAAGCTTTGTTGCACCACATTCCAGTCAGAATTACAAATAATACTTTTTCTTTTTTAAGTTTTTTTTTTTTTTTCACTCGCCAGAGAGAGACAGAGAGAGGAGAAGTGAGAAATCACCCCCTCAGGGAGAATGGCCACAGTGCAATTGCTTCTCTCCAACCATTCTCTCAGAATTTGGGGCACATAAATACATGTGCCAAGCGTGATCCTCAAGCCAAAGGGTCCAGGATTCAAACTACATTCAACCATGTGGGAATCCAGTGCCTTAACCACAATGCCACCTGCTGGCCCCAATATTATACATTTTTATACAAACATATACATAAAATCTAGTGTAACAAATTCAATACATTCAAAATTCTGGAGTTATAAAACGGGACCATAAAAGTACTTTTATTTACTATAACTTATAAAAGAATCTTCAAAATACTCTTCCACAGTTTGAATATTTTATAATTTTACTAATTTCCTCTAGAGTGCATATTCTGGCATAGATGAGAGTGTGCCTTTATTTTATTTTGTATTTTGTAGAGAGATTTTTGCTATAGGGTGTGTGTGATGGCTAGAAAGACAGAAACGGAGAGACAGAAAGTGAGAAATCACCCCCCTCCTACATTCTCCTCCCTGTATCACATGTGTACCTGCACCCAACATCAGTTTCAAACCACTGAGTCTGGGACTTGAAACGTGGTTGACTATGTGGGAGTCTACCGATATAACCATTATGCCATCTACTGGCCCCCAGGATATGCCTTTAACATGTCACCAAGTTTCACAAAATCTGGTTTTCTTAGGAAAACCACCTTCATCCATGACGGTAAGTCCAAAGAAAAATGATCAGCTTGATTTCAGCCCATAAATTCTTAATTACATCAAGGTGCTTTCCTTGAAGTAGTACACTGTTTTAAATGAGTCTCATCATACAAATAAATGCAGCACACAATCCACTGTATATACATACAAATACTGAAGTCTTAAATGTTCACTCCTTAATTTAAAATAGTAGTATCTGACACTACAGTTAGTGGACACAATCAAGTGGAATCATATTTTTTTCTTCCTTCTAGCATATTACATGTGAGATGTGGTTGAGGACAGAAGTCTGACTGCTTCTTCCTATTCCAAAATTCCTTCCAGAGGGCCTGGAGGGAGTCACACCCACAAACATTAATAGGCCATTTGACCCACTGATAACAGAACTCTTCCTACATCCTGTCCCTGGCACAATATCTTTGCGATGTACATTAATGCGTATTTATCTCTGTTAAAATATATTCTTTTCTTTCTTTTTTTAAAAAAGATTTATTTATTTAACTTTATTTGCTATTATTATTTTTTAATTTGACCAGAGAGACAGAGAGAGAGAAAGGGAAAGTGAGAAAGCAAGCTGCCAGGTCCAGGACTCGAACTGCAGTTGGCCATGTGGGAGTACAGTGCCCTTAAATGCCATGCAACCTGCTGGCCCCAAATATATTGTTTTCTGATCTCAGCAACCTTCCTTTTCCAATCACCAAACTAAAAATTGTAAAACCCACCTATAACTGACAAGCATGTCCCACCTTTGTTGGCTAGACCAATGGAAAAACTCTTTGCTAAATTTCAAACATCACTCAGTCTCAAAATCAAATAAAAGGAATCCCTGCACCTGATCACCCTGAGAAATGCATGTTTTACCTTCTCTCTGGGCCTAGGTCACACATATTCATGCTTAGAAATAAACTGTGTTAATTACTATTTTTTGCAGAGTTTGTTATTTCCATCAACACAGTAAACTGTTAAATTACTTTCTCCCAACATGCATATAAAAGAAAAAAATTCCCTCCCAGGTTATATAATTCTGCAAACTTGATTTCATTGTCAATTGCTATGTTAGGCCAAGAGTTAAAAAAAAAAAAAGTAGTATTTATGAGTGCTTACTATCAGTAAAAGTCAAACTATAAAATGAGCAGGTATTTCCAAATAAAATAAAAACATATTGTCGTCAAATTTCTTGATAATCTAATTAAATAGTAAACTTTATTCCCTAACAATTTCTTTTTTGTATTTATTTATTCATTTACTTTATTTCAATCTGACCAGAGAGAGACACATAGAGAGAGGGAAAGTAAGAAAGCAAGCCACTAGGTCCAGGATTCAAACCATGTTCAGCCATCTGGGAGTCCAGCGCCTTAACCACCACGCCACCAGCTGGCCCACCCTAACAATTTATAAATTCAGTTTTTAACTGCTGCATAGATTAGTGAGTAATCAATAAACATGGTATTGTTAGTTTACATGGAGCTTGGTGTAATTTATTTGTAATAATATTTCCCAAAGTGTGTATCTTGAAATGTACACTTTACTGTCGCATATATTCAGGAAACACTGCAAATTCTATTGACCTTTTGGGAAATGACAACATACACTGGCACTGTATGAAGTCAGTTTTTAAAAAAATCATCTAGCTTTACCTAATCCATTTTTTTCTTTTTTTTTTTTTTTTTTTGTGGGAGGGGGAGAGATTTTTGTTACAGGGCACGTGCACTAGAGAGACAGAGAGAGAAAGAAAGTGAGAAATCACTCCCCAAAGGGAATGACCATGCCGCAATCCCTTCTCCATTCTCCTTTGGGGATATTGGACATGCATGCACACATGCCCAACATGAGTTACAAGCCTCTGGGCCTGGGACTTGAACTACAGTTGGTCATGTGGGGGTCCAGCACCTCAATCACTACACCAGCCAATGGCCCCTAACCCATTATTTTCAGAGTTTACCTATTGACAGAACTTTTGTGGGATTTTTTTTGTGTTTAATATCTATCAATGTCCGGGACCAGCAGTTAGTGTAATGGCTATGTCGCTGGACTCGCATGTAGTCGACCGCGGTTTGCGTCCCGGACCCAGTGGCTTAAAACTCACGCTGGGTGCGTGTGCATGCGTGCCCAAGATCCCAAGAGGAGAATGGAGGAGAAGGGATTGCGGCGTGGCCATCCCCCCTGGGGGGTGATTTCTCGCTTTCTGTCTCTCTGTCTCT